AAAAACTCCTAATTTTAAAATTTCTTTCTCACCCAAAGACGCTTCTAAATATAAAGATTGAAGGGGGACTAGTGCTAGGGCTCAGGAGTATTATTTTGACAAAAACAACAACAATTTTACTTTAACAGCATTGGGAAATTGACCGGACGATAATTCTCCGAGCAACCAAACACCGCCTCCTTCCCAAAGCAAAAAGAAAATGGTTTTGAAAATGAAATATATGTTTAATTCTGGTTCTGATTACTATGTGTTTGGTGGAGAAGGAAGAAATGGAAGAACGGTTTTTATTAGCCAAAAAAACCCCAGCGTTAATAAGATATTAAAAGATTTTGTCGAGTATGAAATTAGTTTTGAATTAGATCCAGTAGAAGAAAATTATTTTGAAACTACCAAAATTATGTTTTTTGGGGAAAATGATAGCATAGAAGTGATTGAAGCGTAAAACAACCCGTTAATATGGTAGAAGCCCAAGCATGACTAAACGAAAAATATCCCAATAAATTAACCAGAAAAGTGGTTGAGGAATTATCCCTAAGCCCCTACACAACAGACGACCAAAATAAAAACTCCTTTAAAGTGTCTTTGCCTTTTTATTCTGAATAGAGAGGAGTAAATGAAAAAGGCATTTTCTGTCAAATCTCCTTTTTGGCCCGACCCTTTGGAGAGATTTGGTAATTGGCTTTCTCCAATATCTCATCATTCTATCGCTTCTTTTTAATCCCTTAGCAATTTCCCTATAAGGAACTCCTGCTTTCTTTAACCCCTCTATAAACTCAACTAAATCCTGATGCTTAAACTTAAATGACCTCCTAGTAAGTTTATCATCTACTTTTTTAGTTCTTTTACTTAACTCCTCCTCTCATCAATCTACCCCTTCTTCCTCCTCAAACTCCTCATCTTGTTTAAAATCTTGGTAGAGTTTATATTTGCTACCTTTATCCCAAACAAGTTTTAATTTTCCTAGTAAACTAGGGATATAACTTATCCGATAATTACTTATAAATCAATCCTCTTTCCCTGTTCCAATATCAATAAAAGTATATCGCCAGAATTGTTTGTTTCTGCTTCTTTCTGCCTTAGTTATCTTGGCAACATACTCCATAGACTATAATCTATTTTATAAAATAAAATAGAACAAGAATATAGCCTTATTTACTAAATGCTTCCACAGTAGTTTTTTTATATTCATCCATACACTGTTTGGCTAGTTCATTGTATAAATGCCCTTGTAAAAGTCAGTTAGTTCTTTTTTTCTTTTCAGGCTCCATATCACCTACTTCTAATTTCTTTATCACATTAAATATAGCAATCTTTCTCTCATACGGACTTAAATCGCTTCTTAGGATGTTTTCTATTTTTTTAACAAGTTGGCGAGCCTTCTCCTCTCTATTTTGTTGAATTGCGGAAGTCATATCCACATGCCTTTTTTTATTGCTGTTATTTTTATCCATGGCTATAATATATTTTTAGTGTTATTTTAAATTGATTACGCTATTTAATACGGTTTTATAAATAAAACTAATTAAATGTATAATCAAACAAGAACAAGTCTTTTGAACTATTCTTTTAAATAGTCTTTCAAAGTTTCTTTTAATCTTTCTTTTATCCATTGGATGTAAAATTATAAATACTACCTTTTTCACATTAAATTTCCGCTCTTAACTACTGTTTAAATTGCTTTTAGTAATTCAGTTAACTCCCAA